AAATAAGACAAAAAATACAAATATTAAAATAAATGTAATAAATATTGAATTTTTAATTTTAATTGGCTTAAAAATGAATGACCAAAATAAAACTATGCTGATATATTGGGGGTTTAAAACATACGAAGAAGATTTTTTATGAAAAAATTAGCACAAAGTTGGGTGAGAAGAAGTAGATCTTTACTACTCTAAGTTTCTTATATTAAAAGTTATGCTCTATATCTATCTTTTGGTTCATCAGTTTATAATGTTCTTTATTAGCCATAAATGAGTGGGGTCATGTGGTATTTCTCTTTCATTGACTGGCTTATAATATTTCAGTCAGCATGATGTTCTCGAATTCCATCCAGGTTGCTGCAAATGATGAGAATTCCTTCTTTTTTATGGTAGCATAGTATTCCATTGTGTAGATATACCATAGTTGGTTTTTTTTTTTATCCATTCATCTGCTGACTGGCACCTAGGCTGTTTCCAAATCCTAGCTATTGTAGATTGTGCTATGAGATATAGAGACAGTAAAGCAACAAGCAGACTGTCAAATTACAGCGGGGAGGGGAGGGAGATCTGGGGGAGATAAGAGATCAACTGAAGGACTTGTATACATGCATATAAGTACAACCAATGGACACAAAACTCTGGGGAGAGTGGGAATGTATAGGGGGGCAATGGTAAAATATGTACACAGATAATAATTTAATAAAAAAATAGTTATGCCATGTGTTATTTTCAGTTGACAATGATACATTAAACATGTATATTATCATTCCTATGGTCACCATTAAAGAGAAAACAACAACAACACATTACCGATATTATAAATAAGAAAAAGTAAACACTTGGTCCCTACAAACATTGTAATAAAAATAATAGAATATTATAAACACCTCTTTGACGATAATTTTGATAAGAAAAAGAAATATGCAATCACTTAAAGATGCTCACATCTATTAAATAAATAACCATATTCCTTAAAAGCCATGTAGAAGCCTCTCATCACTATATGCACAAAAGTTTGAGAATTGTTTTTCCAACGTGAAAATGGCACTTCATTCTCAGAAGGCAATGTGCAGAATGCTGGGTGGTTCACCTCTTCTCCCACATAGAAGAGGACAGCATCTGGGAGATAACATATGAAGGTGAAAAGAAGCCCAGTATCCATGGTGACCTCATGAAGAAGAACCATGGACAAACCCGAGTCAGCTAAATTCTGCAAGGTTATAACCAACGATATGCTTTCTTTTGTGGATCCACTCTGTTTCTGAATCCCTTTGTAATACCAGGATACCCTGTCCTCGTACTAATGCAGACTCTCTTCCTGGCATCATTCCATCATGAAATTGTCTTTTCTTTGCCAGGCTTATTCTTCCTGAAAATAAGACTATTCCTGTGGGTTTGAGGAGTTTGAACAAATGTCGCGAAAATCACATTGTCTTCTATCAGAAGTTCTGAGAGTGTTTACGAGCCACATACACCTTGCAAAGGTTCCTGGTATTTGATTTATGCCTTCCTTAATATAATGATTAATTCTGTTTTTCACCACTCTTACAACAGAGTGATGATGAAGAATGTGAACTCTAGACTCTCTGGGTTCCAAAAGAGCTTGTTCTTTGACTAACAGAGTGATCACAAACTAGTTATTTCATCCCTTGTGCTGCAGTTTCATCATCTGTAAGATCTGGCTTTTAGATACATTTACTGAGGTATTGTTCCAAGTGCTGGGCATAAAACGCCGAACAACATCAAACAAGGGCTGTGCTTGTTGACCTTATGGGAGAATTGGGTATAGGGGGCAGAGCAGAAGCAAAAGGCACAAGCTACAGATGTAAAATGTTAGGAGGAGATAAGTGTCATGGAAAACAAACGAAGCATGAAAGAGGGATAGGAAGAACCAGTACAATTTAAAATAAGATGACACCGAATGTTCTTATTCAGAAGAGACTAGGAAATACAGTGCAGTGATCTATAAAAAGGGAGTTCTGGGATGAAGAGGAGAGAAAGCCAGTGCTCATAATCATTCTAATGCATTTCTTCTCTTTATAATAAAATAAAATTATTTCTGAAACTGTTATCAGTGTGCCAGCTGGACCTCATTTTCATAATAAAATTCTTTGTCATTTGAGTATGCATGGTAATTTGTATGCTGGATGGAGTTCAAAAGATCACATCTATAATTTCTCATTTTGCTCATCAGTTTCTCTTAAAAACACATATATATTTGGACCATGGATTTAACACATATTCTATTGTTTGCAATTACAATGTGGATTAGAAAAGACATATTGCAGAACATAACCAATATTTGATTAAGGATGGCTCCACAGAAATAGAAAAAATGAAAGAACTTGATGGTTTTTTTAAGAGACCAAAGAAATACCCAACAGAAAAGGAAGAACAGAAGTAATATGCTATACTATATTACTATTTCTAATTTGAGCAAGCCAGAGGGGAAATGCTAAATGTGTCATAAACAATTATAGAAAAACAATTTCAATGCATCAGTACTGTCCTTTTCTTTTGAGAATTACTCATTATAACCACAAATTACTTTTAAATTTAGAGAACTAAAATTATAGACAGTTAACAGTTTAGCATCACTGTTATTTTAATAGCCTGAAGCCCTCTGTCTTCTGCATAACTCTAATGAGAGCATTTTTCACTTCTTTATTCCTCAGACTATAAATGAGTGGGTTCAGCATGGGGATCACTATAGCATAAAAAACAGAAGCCACTTGATCCTTTCCCAAGGCATAGGACTTACGAGGTTTTAAATAAGTAAAAATCATAGTACCATAAAAGATGGTGACTCCCAGGAGATGAGAGGCACATGTAGAGAAGGCTTTTTGCTTTCCTGAAGTGGAAGTGATTTTCAGGACAGTGGACAGAATGGACAGATAAGACACACATATCGTGATAACAGATACCATTAGAGTGGAGCCAGCAAAAATGAATATTATAATTTCAATGTCCTGAGTGTCAGTACAGGACAGGGCTAGAATTGGGGAAGTGTCACAGAAAAAGTGATGGATTACATTGGAGTCACAGAAATGCAGTGTGCTCATGCAAAGTGCATTGATAATAGAATTAATAAAGCCAAGAAAATAGGACCCAAAGGCCAGGGAGTAGCAGAGTCCTTTGGACATAAGGACTGGGTACTGTAGAGGATTGCAGATAGCTACATAGCGATCATAGGCCATTGAGGAGAGAAGAAAACATTCAGTGGAACCCAAGAAGGTAAAAAAGTACATCTGGGTGAAGCAGCTCAGGTATGAAATGCACTTGGTGGAAGTCAATAAGTTCTCTAAGGTTTTAGGAGTGATGATATTGGAGTAAATGAGGTCAATAAATGAAAGGTGGCTGAGGAAAAAATACATGGGGGTGTGAAGCTGGAGATCCAAGTGGATTAACAATATCATCCCTGCATTTCCCAGCACACTAATCAAGTATATCAGGAGAAACAGTACAAAGAGGACCAGCTGGATCTCCTCAGAGTCTGTCAATCCCATAAGGATGAAGTGAGAGACATTTGTGCTATTCCTCTCATCCATTCTGTTCACGTGCTTCAAACTGTTGAGAAATAAGTGTGATACTTAGTAGAAATGAATTCAAGATGTTATTTATATTACTTTAATATTTCCAAAAATTGATAATAATGAGTGGTTTTCAGAATTTGATGAAAAAATTGAGTTTGATTTTCAAATATATAAATAGGCATAAAATATCGTTTGGGCTTAATATAATAAAATAAATAGCATATTGCATAATAAGAATGAGCTTTACATTGTTTTATCTACTCCATGTTAAAATTAATCAATAGGTGTCACTATTACCCACGTTTTTTAAATAAAAAAGGGCACAAGCAATTTAAGTCACTTGTTTAGAATAGAGATATTAAATGTTGGTTTGTAATTGCACCAAGATAGGTAAACTCAAGAGAACATGCTTGTTATACTATATTACTATTTCTAATTTGAGCAAACCTAAGGAAAAAGGCTAACTGTGTCATACACAATGATAGAAAAACAATTTCAATGCATCACTTACTGTCCTTCTGTTTTGAGAATTTTTAATTATTAACCACAAATTTTAAATTTAGAAGACTAAAATTATAGACCACATAAATCAATAATTTCCAAAAGGTATGTTTTACTAAGTTGACCTTTCAAAATCAGATTTCTTCCAAAAATTGTATTTCTAAAACATACAGCTTGCTTGTAAATCATAAATCCATCAGCTCTATATTTCTGGTTACAAAACCTGGCATTACTTAAGGCAAGGTCTAAGTCCTATGTGTATGTACAGTTTTCTAAAAATATTCCCATTTTATCTGATCCTCACCCAAACTCTCTAATTTTCAGAGTAATACTTAGCAAGAGCCAAAGTCGGTAGAAAAAACACACCACAGAACCCCTCCTTCAATCTTATCTGTCTAGAAATTTGTCAACGTCAAGTTTTTTTCACAAATAAAATATAAATACCATTTGAGTCAAAAATTTCTGTAATATATTCTTTTCTTTGAGATAAGTTCTTTGTAATTTTTTTATGCATTTATTTTTTTATTCCAAGGTTAAAAAAGAATCAGCAGAAATTTTCTGGTGCAATGGAAAATTTGCCAGGAAGTTATGTTTAAAAGGAATATCAGGGATCTGCTGTGAACATAAGTGGAGCAAAGTACGTCTTGTCTCTCTTCCAAAGCACCTCATATACTGGGGAAAGAGGGTAGCACAACATTGAGGCATCCCTGGAGATCAGGTTCCAAGCAAGATTGCTTGGCATGTTTCCAAGGAAAAAAATCACACTGGGACTATTATAAATGCAGCTCTGTTATGTTCTGAGGAAATAGTTGCCTTTCTCCCTTGATGGCACACAATGAGGAACCTTGTTTGGTCTTCTTTTGTGATGCTCTATATTTTCCACTGAGTTGGTGGAGAAACCATTTCTAGAGACATAATTACTCTACGACTGAAACCATCAAAGATGGAGTAGTTCATTTTTTTTTTTTAATAGAGAACCCACAATTCAGTTTTATTCAGAGCAAAGAAAAAAGATACTTTTGATCATACTGGAAGAAACTCAGCCACAGGTTTGGTATCTGTACCCAAACTACACATGCAATGAAGACAATATTCTGCTAATACAATTGATTTGCTGCTGCATTTGTCTACTGTTTGCCTAATATTAACAATTATAAACAGAGCAATGCAACTAGTATTTGGAACAATCCTTACAGTGTTACAGTGTCAGGCACAACTTTTCACTTCTCTTCACACCACTGGTTCTCTTTGCGTACCTGGGCTTCCTCTTCTTCAGTAAAGTCATTTTTTTATATTGAAGGTCTTGCGAATCTCTTCAGGGGTTTTCCCCTTGATCATATTGGCAACAGTCTTGCATGCAACATCAAGCAAAACTTTGATGTCTAAATAGTTTGCAGCCAGAATTAGTTCAAATAGTGTTCCTTGGTCAACTTTGAGAAATTCTCGGTTCCAAACAGGAATATCGTCTGTCTGCTTTTCTTTGTTCTCATCATCCTCAGGAGGAGGAGGGTCATCCTTGTGGTGGGTGCACCACTGAATGACCTTTTTTAATATTGCTGCATTAACATTTGGTAGAGGAACTAGGTCATCATCGCCTTCATCATCCATTCCCAAATCTTCTAACATAGCCTTGATAGTCACAGATTGTTTGGCAATTTCAACATCAACTTCAAATATCTCTCCATCAGAACTCTGCAATTTAATTGAAGGCATGGTGCTCGATCTCCAGGAGAGAGTGGGCCAGAGGCTGACGAGAGCGGAGCAGCGTCAGCAGAAGCAGATGAAAACGGTGGAGAACAAGGCCTCTTCCAGTAGTTCATTTTTCACAAGGAAACATTTTTATGTTTAAAAGTGTGATACAGTCATTGAAATGAAATATGTTCATTAGAAAAAAATTAGAATGCAACAGAAATCAAAGAACAAATTGACAATGTCAATGTTACCATATTTTGATAAATTTCTACGATTTTCTTACCTTCATTAATACTTATTTGTGCATTTATATATTTGCATACTTATTATTATATTGTATATTTAGCATCCAATCCTCACTTAATGACCAAAATTTCACAAAGCACTATGACCAATGTTACATTAGTCTTTGATAAATATTTTAAAGCAGCACAAAAAAACATGATAAAGGCTTCCATTCTGGTTTGACAATCACCTAATTCGTATATGTAGCAATATTTCTGCTATTTATTTTACTATTGTGGTGTACTCTGTATATAAAAATGTCAAGTATTTCATTGAAGATGAATGAAAAATTAAAATATGAAAAGAGGCATAATATTTTATTGAGAATTGTTTGTCCAGGATGAAGAATCAAAAGAAAAATTTGAAAAGGGATAGACTTGGAATAAGATTAAAATATTCTTATGAATCACCTAATTCATGATAATGAAATCAATTTATACAGATGTAAGAGTAACTCTTTCAAACCTAGCTGGTTTGGCTCAGCGGAATAGAGCATTGGCCTGGGGACTGAAGGGTCCCAGGTTCTATTCTGATTAAGGGTTGTGGGCTCATGCCAGGGTTGTGGGCTGCCAATCAATGATTCAATGATTCTCTCTCCTCATTGATATCTCTCTCTCTCTCTCTCTCTCTCTCTCTCTCTCTCTCTCTCTCTCTCTCTCTCTCTCCTTTTTCCCTCCTCTCTGAAATCAACAAAAAATGTATTTTGAAAGTTAAAGAAAAAATCTATTTAAAATTCACACTTTCAAGGAAATCCATTTATTCTCCAGAATTTCAGAAGATAATTTGTTGGTATGGATTAAGGAGCTATGTTTGTCTGTATTATATTATTGATGAACTTTTGAAAGGGCAATCCTTATACTAACAAAAATTTAGTGCAGCTAAGACAGACTTATCTGGAAATTTAAAAACCAGCATGAAACTACTTGATAGAAGGTAACCTTAGGAAATAAGGCAAAAGAGGGACAAGAAGTGATTTTTAATGTTAATGCTACCTCAATAGACATTGTCATTACAAATTAACAGGAGCATATTTTTCTTAATGTTTTCCCAATATTAAAAGCCCACTACAGCTACTTAGGATTTCAGGGCTATTGTTGTATCATTTATTGTCAGGAAGAAGAGAAGAGAATGGAGAAATTCCAGGCAGTAAACAGGACTAGTGTGTACAGGAAGACTTAAGAAGTCATGTGTTCAAAACCAAATGAGGATGAAGAATAGAATAATAAGGAAGAGGTTCTTAGAGGAAAGGAGTGAGGATAAGATCCTTTTGGACCAGTGGACTCTTGTAAAAGTTGGTAGGCTTCATTGTTAGTGTGAGGAGAAGTTTTGCAGGATTTGAAGCCTTAAAGTCTTCTTGTAGAAGTAATGTGAACCAACTTAGTGTAGCACTATGACTGTTACACTGAGAAAAGACTTAAGCGGAATAAGGCCAAAACGCAGAGACAAGCTAGGAGACTACAGCAATAATCCTAGAACTAAGGGGATGGTTCCTTGTTAGCAATGTAGGATTGGTAGGGCAGAAAGTGTTGTAACCAGTCATATCTGTGTTTAGAATCAATGTCATATGCTGATAGATTGAGTATAAGGTGTATGAGATAAAAATAAAATTCCAGGAACATCCTTAAGTCTTTGTCTGAACAAGTAGGAAAATTGTTTTCCTTTATGTGAGCTAAACATATGGATTTTGCTAGTGCCTAATTGAAAAATTATGGTAATTATACATCTAAAGCCCTTTGAATATTGTCTGGCACATGATACATGCTCAGTAAATATAGCATTACCTTATATCTATCAATTATTTGAAAACAAATAAGTATTCATACTTTTGGCACCCTCTATTCTTGTTCTGTATCATATATTTTTTAAATAGTCTTCTGGCATGACATCATAAGCAGGATGATTTATCTTAAATTACTTCAGACTTCAACTTACATAAAATATGATATGCACTAATTTAACAAGGAAATTACAGTGCAAATGTAAATAGTCTAAATATTCCATGTTTCCTGTGTACTACTTTATATGTATGTAATAACAGCATATATGCATTTGTGTGTGTATATATATATATATATATATATATAGAGAGAGAGAGAGAGAGAGAGAGAGAGAGAGAGAGAGAGAAAGAGAGAGAGAGAGTTTTTAAACTGTATTGTAAAGAGGATAAAATAATCTTAATTTAAATTAAGATTTATTCAACTTAAGTGTTACTAGTATCGACAACTCATGAAATTTGTTGAGAATTTTAAAAATTAATATACTTTTATTGATTTCAGACAGAAAGGGAGAGGGAAAGAGGGATAGAAACATTGATGATCATTGATCTGCTGCCTCCTGCACACCCCATCCTGGGGATCTAGCCTGCAACCCAATATGTGCTCTGACCTGGAACTGAACCTTGTCCTCCTGGTTCTTGAGTTGACACTCAACCACTGATCCACACCAGCAGGGTGGTGCCAACATATTTTGGCCAACATATTTCAAGAAGATACATTTCTTAGTCGTAGAAATAGATATAAATGAAAGGTGAAAACATAGTTTATAAAAAAATACCTGGAAAATGAAAAGAGCCCATAAATATATGAAATGACAAAATACACAAGATGAAAGATGACCCAAAAAGGCATACTGTTAAATAATAAATGCTCATGAAATACTTATATTCTCATTGCAAACAGAAACAAATAGTGCTCTAGTCAATGGGACTCAGCTGGCAGGAGCATTGCCAGTACATGGAAATGTTCTTTGGTTCCATTCTCTCTCAGGGCACATGCCTAGGTTGTGGGTTCAATCTCAGTCCAGGCTTGTACAAGAGTCAACTGAACAATGTTTCTCTCACATGGATGCTTTTCTCTCTCTCTCTCTCATTCTCTCTCTCTCTCTCTTTCTCTCTCTCTCTCTCTGTAAAATTAATAAGTATCATCAACTGAGGATTAATGAAAATAGAAATAGCTGAAAATTTAGAGTACAGTATAGACAAAGTGAATATTAAAGCAAAAAGAACTCATACTTTAAAATTACATTGATGTATAAGGCATTTTAAAATAAATAAAATAACGGAAAATAATGCATAAATAAGTGTTTGAAAATATTAACTGAATTTTTTAAATTAGTAAAAAAAAAATTAAACTTTTATCTCCAAAAAGGAGGTTTCACTATATTTCTTAGTTTTCATTTCATGTGCTTGTGCTTTTGTTAAAAAACTTTATTTTTTTAGAGCAGTTTTAGGTTCACAGCAAAATGAAAAGAAAGGTACAAAGATTTCACTTATACATAGACCTCCACCTCTCACCTCCCAACAAACATGCATATTCTCCCACATCACCAACATTACACACCAGAATGGAGCATTTCTTACAACTGAGTAACCTACATTGACACATACTTATTCAAATCCATAGCTTTCGTTGAGGTCTATTCTTGATACTATTGATTTGATGACTTTTTAACTTTTAAAATGTGTTTAGAAAGAGAAATCAAATATAATGCTACAAAGTAAATATTGAAAATTTCAAAAAAGTATAATTTTTACTTGAGCTATATATCAAGGTTGTTTTTGCATTGAGCTACTGTGAGCAATAAGGTAATGTTCCTATAGACAAAGAATAGACATGAATCTGCTTACCATCAAAGGGTGTCTCCCATCCTCAACTGTTCTTTCCTATAATGCTGCCCACTTTATATGTCTTCATCCATCTATGCCCACCTCTGCACACTCCTGGGACTTAGGTGAGTATGAGAAACTGATGAAAATATGAACTGTAGCTATTGCTTTTACTCTGAATAATTATGTCCTTTGTCACTTAACTAGAAATCTTGTGACTTCTGCCTTTATCTCTCAAACAGCAACAGGCTATCTTGCTGGTTGGGTATTGTTTTCTAAGTTCTTTTATTATAATTTTGTAAATAAATGCATTAGAGTGACTATGTTTAATTAGATTGAATGTTTGAAGTATATAATTCAATAATACATCATCAGTAGATTGCATTGTGGATTTGAAAAGACATATTCATGAAAATGTCCAGATTATATTTGATTAGGTTAAGACAGAAACCCAAACAATGAAAGGAGTTCATTGTGTTTGAAGAGACCAAGAAATGTCCAACAGGAAAGAAAAGCTAACAGTTTAGCAACACTGTTATTTCATCACCTGCATCCCACTTGTTTTCTGCAAGACTCTAATGAGAGCATTTTTCACTTCTTTATTCCTCAGACTATAAATGAGTGGATTCAGCATGGGGATCACAATAGTATAAAATACTGAAGCCACTTGATCCTTCCCCAAAGAGTAGGACTTGTGAGGCTTTAAATAAGTAAAAATCGTAGTTCCATAAAAGATGGTGACTCCTAGAAGATGGGAGGCACATGTAGAAAAGGCTTTTTGCTTTCCTGAAGTGGAAGTGATTTTCAGGACAGTGGACAGAATGGACAGATAAGACACACATATCGTGATAACAGATACCATTAGGGTGGAGCCAGCAAAAATAACTATCATGATTTCAATGACTTGAGTGTCAGTACAGGACAGGGCTAGAATTGGGGAAGTGTCACAGAAAAAGTGATGGATTACATTGGAGTCACAGAAATGCAGTCTGCTCATGCAAAGCACATTGATAATGGAGTCCAGAAAGCCTTTCAAATAGCACCCAGAAATGAGGGAGTAGCAGAGTCCTTTGGACATAAGGACTGGGTACTGCAGAGGATTGCAGATAGCTACATAGCGATCATAGGCCATTGAGGAGAGAAGTAAACATTCAGTGGTACCCAAGAAGATGAAAAAGAACATCTGGGCAAAGCAGCTCAGGTATGAAATGTACTTA